CGTGGCGGTGAGGAGGGGGGGGGGAGGGACGGTGAGGAGGGGATGGCGGCGCCGCCCGGGGCCATCGTCGTCATGCGGGAGGGCGCCGCCGGCACCGGATCCGCTCCCACCCGCCGCTGCGCGCTGCCCCGCCGTCGTCGTGACTCGGCCGCCCCGAGGCTGGCGCCACCATATCCGCTCATCGCCGTCGCCTCGCGCTGCTAAGCGTCGTCGGATCCGGCGGCTCCAGGGCCACCGACCCCGGATCCGGCTGCCCCGAGGCCGGCGTCGCTAACCCTCCCCACCGCCGCCACACCTCCCTGCTGCAACCGCTGCTCCCGCCGTCCCCCGCCAAACCACTGCCCGGCCACCGCCTGAGTGAGAGAAGGAAGAGGAGAAGATAACATGGAGAGAGAGAGGACTGAGTGAGAAGAGAAGATAAGGTTGCCGAAATTTTGAAGTGGTGGAGAGGGAAGAGGAGGTAAATCAGACTTGTAGGCAAAAATGAATTTCGAATTGAATTTTATGATACTAAATGAACTCACATAAAAAAGTTGTCAAAAAAAAGTTGTAGAACTCATTGAGATCTACCAATTTTATTTTGGTCATTTCTCCATCCGAGTTTGATTAAACTCTACAAAATTTGAATTTTAAAATATAAGAAATTCAAATAATTTTTCGGGTAGAAAATGATTTCAAATGGAAAAAATGTAACAACAAACTTGTATGACTTATCAAGATTTACAACTTTTATTTTAGTCATTTTTCTATATAAAATTTTTTGAATATTTTGAATTTGAATTTGAAAATATGACAACTTCAAACAACATTTTCAAATACTAAATGATTTCAACTGAAAAAGTCATCAACAACAAAGTTGTATAACCCATTAAGATCTATAACTTTTATTTTCGTCATTTTGTTCATCCAACAAAGTGATAGTAACATTGTTCACAAAATTCACATATCTCTTATTTGCTTTTATAAACTATAACACATATATATATGTAATTTTTATTAACAATGTTACTAATACTTTGTCGGATGAAGAATGAAAAAAATAGAAGTTATAGATCTTGATGAGTTATACAACTTTGTTGTTGATGACTTTTTAGTTGAAATCATTTAGTATTTGAAAATGTTGTTTTGAAGTTGTCATATTTTCAAATTAAATTCAAACTGTTAAAAAAAAGTTATATAGAAAAATGACCAAACTAAAAGTTGTAAATCTTGATAAGCTATACACAACTTTGTTGTTGACAATTTTTCCATTTAAAATTATTTAGTATTTGAAAATATTGTTTTGAAGTTATCATATTTTCAAATTCAAATTCAAACTGTTCAAAAAAAAGTTATGTAGAAAAATGAGCAAACTAAAAGTTGTAAATATTGATAAGTTATACAACTTTGTTGTTGACAAATTTTCCATTTTAAATTATTTAGTACCCGAAAAATTATTTTAACTAATAAAATGAATTATTATACTGCAATTAATTATTTTGCTACAGGACAACTTACAAATATAAATATTTCATATGAAACATGGAAAAATACTCATCGGTGACGGCCATTAGTTAAAGCCCGATAGAGATTAAGTCATCTCAATCGGACATTAGTATAGAGCCTGTCACGGATGAGTCATCTATAACTGGGACGGGCCTAGTTATTATCTCAGTCGGGCCCCAAGTTGGCGCCCGTCAAGGATGATGGTCATACATGACGGGCGCCAACTTGAGGCCCGATTGAGATACCAACTTGAGGCCCGATTGAGATATGGAATGGTATCTCAATCGAGCCTATACTATGGCCCGTCACGGATAGGTGTTATCTGTGACGGGCCTGAGTTTTACACCAATCTAACATGTCTGTGCGACCATATCTCAATCGGGTGCTTTTTCGGCCCGATTGAGATGACTTCCTTATGACGATCCGCTAATTCTAGACATGTTAAAGCCCATTACAGATAGAAGGATCTGTACTAGTGTATCACAACAGCTCTCTCCTCTCCTCTTGTTGATTAGGCTGACGATGTTGTGACCAAAGCCATGGGTGCAGCCCACGAGATTGCCACCTTCCAGGGGGGGGTGCTGATACGCGATCAGCCGCGCGGCTCCGCGCGCGCGGTCAGTCACGCCCTATAGTCTCTCTCATACGTACTGTATACATTATATGTATATACGTATGTATATACTATATATACAAGTGTATATATAAGTATATACATATGTATATATATATATTTTATTATATTTCAATGCATAAAAAATATATACACACATACAGAAAGTTTGTATACGCACTAAAAAATTTAAAAAAATAGAAAATACATCACGTATAGAAAGTTTGTATACGCATATATAAACTTTGTATACACGTATATAAACTTGGTATACACGTATACAAACTTTGTATACGCGTACACAAACTTCGTATACGCGTATAGAAAGTTTGTATACACATATAGAAAGTTCGTATACGCGTATATAAACTTTCTATACATACGAATATAAATTTGGTATACATACGAATACAAACTTGGTATTTATACATCTTTAGAAAAACTGTAAAATACCGAACAAAAGAGAAACAGGAAAAAAAAACCGAACAAACGAAAAAACCGGAGGAAAAAAACCAAAAGAACAGAAACAGAAAATAAAGAGAAAGCGAAAAAAAAGGAAAAATTCGCTCCTCTCCCTCGCGGCGCCTCCGCTGCTCCCTCTCCGTGCGCGACATGTGTCCAGTCGCGCGTCGCGCAATAGCAATCTCGCCTTCCAAGTAGCTCTATTCGCCGCAACCATGACCTCCTTAGTCATGCTACTAAATCCAATAAATACCGGCATGATGAAACTTTGAAAAAAGGTTTTTGATTGTTCCAATTTTAGAATCCAAAAATTTTCAGTTCGTCTCCTCTTAAGTCAACACCGCTGCTAGTGCTCCTATGAAGTTAGGTCATCGTTGCTGAGTTCCCATTGGCTTGTGCTTCTGCAAGAACTTGTCGTGGTGTCCTGAAAAGGGCTCGAAGGAGTCGGCCAGCTTGGGAGAGGTTGCCCTTTCCCATGGCCGGCCGCCTTCTTCCTCAGTCGGCTGCAGCGGGAACAACATATAGCTTGACCTTGCAATGTCGATTAAGAGGCAGGGGCTAGAGGTAAAGTGCAATGGAAGAAGAAGAGGGTAGAGGATGATGTGTGTGCCTATGAAGCTGATTATAACTAAAACCACTCTGGGTTTGAGGAGGAGTGGGGGTGAGTTGGCAAATAGGAGTTAACCAAATTTTAAATCAGTTCTGAATTCTCATATGATCTGACTTGTGAATAACAGGTTTCCTGAATCCTTCTGTGCAGGGTTGCACTCTTGCCGACAATTCAAGAACAGGGCAGCGGTACGAGGATCAACTAATGTTAGTGTTAGTGAAAGGATACATCAACCGACAGAGCCACAACTGAAACAGGTAACATTTACTATGCAGTAAGAGAACTCTTTTTTGTGAAGTCTACTGTTGTTTGCTAAAAATGATGAACATACAGTAGACAATAATGGACAGCAAAGAAAAAACATCTCACCATGCATATCAATCATGTCACGCTCATTATTTTACTAAAACAAAAAATCTGTATGTTTTTGAGACATTGGATAGAAATCCAGTCTCTATATCCACGCACAACCAAGTGTTAAAAGAATAATTCCAAGTCTCGTGACTGAGAAAGAACAATAACTAAAAACAAAAACACTAGAAGACTAGCTTCGATCTTTTGTTGCCTAACAATCCATGCCACAGCAAAAATCATAAGACGATCTTAAAATATAGTCAGAGCTCCTGCAGCAGCCCTTATCCGCGTTCCATCCATGATTGTCTCTTTCATCACCCTACCCCAACCGTTGGCCAGATCCAAGTGATCCAGATTCACTAACCCCCAAATGCTAATTTCTTTGCTTGCTGATGCCATCCATAGGAGGTAGAGTAGACGCCCCTCAATTGTAGTTTGTTACTGCACAAATAGATTTGGGCACAACCACCTTAGTCCTTAGATCCTGTGGCACTTAGGCCATAGATCTAACATCACCCCATCCATCACCTGCATTACCAACCAGCTCGTCATCGTTTTGTCGATACCACTCCTCGCTGTAGCTACCATGCATTCTAAAAGTATACCAAATCTAGCTATTTGGCCTGATCCAACCAACCCGGTTGCCACCGACATCGCTAATGATCTCACCGTCTTCTCTTCTCACTACAGCCACCTTTTATCAACAGGAGAACACTGAATCTAGCCATCATGCTAGATTCATATACCCCGGATACCACCAGCACTATCTGAAATTCCCTCGTCGTCCTAGGTTACCATCTTGAGCCAAAGTTGGTTGACCGGTGATCACTGCCTTGATGCCCCGTTCGTCGCCCTTGCCAAGATGGTCGTTCTCGCTAAGGACGACAAACACAAGACAAGGCAGAAAGACCGACGCGGTGACGACAATGCCATCCTCCTTCAGGGTGGCTGCGATTAGCATGTCACCGCTGACTGCCGCAACCAACACCTGACATGGTGCCCTGCCCCGCTGCCCCACAAGTCAGCAAGAAGTGGGTGTCAGCCCTCCGCCAGTTCCTGCACAACGTAGCGCACATCCGCCCAACTAGATTTGAGGAAACAAAAGAAAAGGGAGAAAAGAGAAAAGAGGAAGAGGAAGAAGATGGATGGGGAAATGGTTGTGGGGGTGGGGGTGGGGGTTGGGTTGAGGAGAAAAAAATCTGTATTTTTGAAGTATTTCCTTATAGTAAACTTTACGAAACTACATGTGCTTTGACAAGATTATTTTAAATCTATAATTTAACATCAAACTACATATTTTGTAATGAGATTAGATCTTTAGCATTATATATTTTCTGGGAGTTATAAATTTTATAGTTTTGTTATACTCCTTGCTCCATATTCTTTAGTTCAATGATACATTTAATGCTAAATTCGTAGTGTGATGTACTGTATGTACTATATTTATGAAAGTTTGACGAAAGTAATGGTAGATTCCGAAATTTTGTCTCTCTTTATTTCGACAACATAACCTTTGAATCGATATGCTCGAAGCAATTAAACTTTCGTCATCCAATAGTGACTCAACCAATATACAGATTTTTACCCAAAGAATTGAAGCAAAGATTTCATAATCTAGACGTGACTCTTATAAGAGATTCTTGTCCGCTTGTTCGCTCGCCAGTATGACAGCTCCTTCGTCAACTTCCATCGACGATCTTCTGTTGATGTTTTATTAGCTGGCAGGGTAATGGAGCATTGCTCCAAAGCTGATGCCTTGGAGAGGAGATACTTTGCAAGCATCCTCTCGTTGGGCGTCCCTTTGTAGTTGAGCAGCTTGATCTTCCTCAGCCTGTGCAAGCACTCTACTCGAGTCTCCCACAAGATCTTCGGCACATGAACATAGGTGTCTTCACCGTCCAAGGCGCTCTTGTCCTTCTTGTTTTCCTCTTAGCCGTTCTGCGAGGAGTCATCGTCGGAGCCGTCGAACATGTAAAGATAGTCAGGCTTTGGGGGGCGAGGACGGAGAGGGATCAGCGAGAGCACGTCGAGGTTCGGCGTGTTGCGAAGCAACGTGGAGACTGATAAGGCGGTTTCGTCATTGTCGAGGAGGCCCTTGAGAGCGAGCTGCCGGAGGTGGGGAAGATGGCGGAGGGCGCGTGTGAAAGTCCCGCTGTGGAACGCCATTGTCGGGCGAAGGTGGAGGTGGAGGAAGGTGACGTTGGTGCACCGGGTGATGACCTTTGTGATGGGGACGACAGCCGATGCCGATTTCCCGAGGAGGCTTTCGCAGATGTCGATGGTCATGGCCAGTACGTCACCGCAGTTGGCGATGGAGAAGAAGTTCTCACCGGGGAGGCCGCCCTTGTAGCGCAGCGTCCGGAGGCGCTCGGCTTGGAGCACGACGTGGCTGGCGTGGTGGCAGCAGATCATGGCGAAGCTGTCGAGGCGCGGGCTGGCGACGACGAGCCTCTTCACGCTGGGGCACTGCTCCAGCGTCAGGTCGGCGATGTTCGGGCAGCCAGAGATGAGACGCTGCACCGCCCCGTCCTCCGCCATGATCCTCTTGAGGAATAGGGTCTCCAGCGACGGCATGGAGACGCCGCCCGCCGGCACGTCGAGCGTCCAGTTGGTGAGCAGCAGACGGCGCAGCGTGTCGCACCGGAAGATGTGCGGCGGCGTTGCGGTGAACGAGTGGCGCATCTCCTCGTCGAAGTCGGCGGAGGCCTTGGGGTGGGTGCCAAACGGACAGAGGTTGCGCCTGGAGTGGTCCCAGTACCGGAGCTTGACGTCGAACTCCTCGAGGCCGGAGACGGAGACGATGGCGAACCACTGGTCGCGCAGGTCGTAAGGCGGGTAGAACGCGTCGAGCCGGAACTTGCGGGTCGGCAAGTCCTTGCCGAGGATGGCGGCGGTAACCTGATGATCGAAGCAGGTCTTCTGTCCCGAGACGTTTCCCCACCGTTCGCCCTTCTTGGGGTCGACGAGGTCGACGACGGGGACGGCGGCGTGGACGTTGCGCCACCGCCGGGACAGCGCGGACGTGACGGTCGCGTTGACGGAGCCGAGGTGGTAGAGCACCCGCGCCAGCGTCGCATCCGGGAGATCGCTCAGCCGGTCGCGGCGCTGCATAATGGTCATCGTCTTTGCCGTATTCGATCTCGGCTCCGTCATATTATTCGATCTTGGCGTCGTCTTCGTCGTGGTGAACTGGTAACGTAGGTGTGTGTATTTATGATGATCGCGACGCTGTGCCAGCCCTAGATCGTTTTCGGTCGAGCCGGGTCAAGTCAATGCGAGACAAAATCGCGGCAGAAACCAACTCGATTCCGTCTCGATTTTCGTGGAGCGCATTTTAAGAACTCTTATCAACATTGTTTCAGCAAATCCAAAAAATTGAAAAGATATCTATAGTTACTATTTTTAGATTTAGATAAATTCCTTATAACAGATTCGAGATCGCTGAATCCTCGGATGCGTACTGTTGAACGAGCCCTGGTTCTCCACGATCAACGTACGGATCGATCAAACGAACCTACTGCATTATTTTTTTCAATATAAATCCCAAGACAACCGCAGACATTGTTGCGAAAATGCGAACCGCCTACGGCGGAGATCGAGATCGATCGACCAACCGATATTATGGCGTCTAGCGAGGAGTCGTCGTCATCCCCGGCGATGCATACCGACGACGGCAGAGACCGGCTGAGCGATCTCCCGGACGAGCTGCTGGGCCACATCTTGTCGTTCCTCCCGAACGTGGAGGCCGGCCGCACGGCGGTGCTGTCCCGGCGGTGGCGCGACGTCTTCGGCTGCGTCGACACCATCTCGTTGGAGGAGTACGAGGGCCAGAGGAGCAACGACTGGGAGACCTTCTTCTACGAGGCAGAGGAGCGGAAGAGCTGCAGCGGCCATCTCCTCGACGGCCTCAGCGCCGCGCTGCTCAGCCGTCGACGGTGCAACGGCCGGAACTTGCCGCTCCGCCGCTTCGGCTTCGCCTTCGACAGCATCACCGGGTGGGACGTTGTCTTCGTCGACATGTGCCTCCACCACGTCCTTCGGCATGCCTCCAAGGAACTCCATCTCGACCTCCGCTTCTTCATCTGCCCAATCTGCGAGAGAGGCGGCTGCAGGAAGCGGAAGGCGAAGGTGAAGAGTAGGAGAGAGACGCCGGAGAAGTCCGACGACGATGAAGAGGGGCACCTGTATTCCACCAGGTGTGGGTACATTCTTCCAAGAAAGCTCTACTCCTGCGTTGCCCTGAAGACGCTATGCGTCAGCTACGCTTGGCTCAACGTGCCAGAATCCATCAACCTGCCGCTCCTCGAGACGATGCGTCTGACGGGCCCCGGCAACTCCGGGAGAGACATCCAGCGGCTCATCTCCGGCTGCCCCCGTCTCACCGACCTGAAGATCGAAGGCGCCCCCAACCTAAGGACGCTCTGCATCCTCGACAAGCGCCTTCGCAGCTTCGCCCTCCGGTGCTGCCAGAACGTCAAGAGCGTCCCCATCGACTCGACGGAGCTGACTACTCTGGCGTACAGCGGCGCCGTGCAGCCAGAGTCGCTTCTGTCCCTCCACGGCGGCGTGCAGAGGATCTCGTCTTGCACCGTCCAACTCTGCAGCAAAAACCTCTCGGCGAGGAGATCGGCAGGCTCGGCAGATTCCTCGACCTGTTCGCCGGCACGACGCACCTCCACGTCGAGTCGGCCCGCATGGGCGCATCCATGGAGAGCAAGCACTTCACTTCGTCCCTGACGTTCGCCGGACTTACGCGGCTGGACCTCACCGGATGCCTCCCAAGTGATGGCGCTGCCAACGCTGTGAGGAGGATCCTGGAGCAGACACCAAAATTGGAGTGCCTGACGCTGTTCCTGGTGCCGGTACCGAAGGAGCCGGACTATGGTTACTACTACGGCCTACAGGAAGAGGACGTGGACGAGAAGCGCCGTGAGCGCGACGGCGACGATCTGTTCACCACCGAGGACGAGTCCATGTTCTCTTCGATCGAGTGCCTCCGACGTCGCGTGACGACGATTTACCTGGTGGGCTACAACGGCGACGAGTTGACGCAGAGGCTGCTGGCCAGGCTGCTGCTGGGCAACGCGCTCGTCCTTGAACGAGTGTGCGTTAAGCTGGTCAAGCAAAAATTAGCGTGGCAGCTTAAGCAAAAGCACGATATCGAGGGTTGGTTTGTCAGCAAGTCAGCAAAGGCGACGTTCACGTAGTAGAATCTCAAGTCTACAACAAGCTGGTGGGCGGATATAGGAAGGGCTATCAAGAGGGGCTAAATAAACTACACAAAACTATAACCTCTTATTCTAATGGATGTATAATAAAAATTTTTAGTGGGGGCTCGAGACCCTATAGCTCTGATAGTGGATACGCCACTAAAGGTGTTTTGTGTTTTTCGCCCTAGTTATTTCAGCACGTATTAGTTATTTTTTTTTGTTTTCCAAAGAATGCCTATGCATGTCTTTTTCAACTACTATATATCCTTTTGACATATAAAGAAGGAAAAAGTACAACTTACCCCCTCGAACTATTGCGGTCGTCCGAATTACCCTCTAAACCCGAAAACCAAACTTCCTTCACCCTCAACTTTCAATACCGGATAAATTACCCCCCTCGACCCAATCCTAAGCGGTTTTTGTCCTATGAGGCGTACGCGTGGCAGTCAAGTCAGTATTTTATTTATTAAAAAATATGGGACCCACATATCATGCTCCCCTCTCTCTTCCTCTCTCTTCTCTCTCTCACTCTCTGTCTCTCACTCTTCCTCTCGCTTTATCGCCGGCGGCGCAGACGGGGGATGCGGCGGCGGAGGCGGCAGCGGGTGACGCGGACGCAGTGGCTGTGGTGGCGGGGGACGAGGCGGCGGTGTCGGCCGTGGCCACGACGAGCAGGCACCCCTCGTCGCGGGGACAGATGGAGGCGGTTGCGGGCGGCGGCGCGGGACGCAGAGACGGACACTACGCCAGATCCTCACACCTCTGACGGGATACCTGTGACGGGCAAACGAATTGGTCAGTAGTGACCATTACCTTTGACGGGTTATACGGGATGCCGTCACCGGTGAGGCATCTGGCCGCGGCCCGTCACAGGTATCCCCTCACCTGTGACGGGCCGAAAGGAAAACCCGTCAGAGGTATACCAGTGACGAGTTTTTCTTCCAACCCGTCACTGGTATCCCCTCACCTGTGACGGGCCGATACATTAGAAGCCGTCAGAGGTGATGGGCCGCCACCTGTGACGGCTTTCATTTCTGGCCCGTCACAGGTGAGAGGATACCAGTGACGGGCCGTTGAATAGAAGCCCGTCAAAGGTATGAGCAATACCTTTGACGGGCTTTTTTTATCTAACCCGTTTGAGGTGTGTTGGGTCTATAAATACCCCCAAACTGCCAACTGCTTTCCATCCCGACCATTGTACTGTTCACAAATCGGTTGGGAGGGCAAGGGGGGCGATTTTTTGCTAAAATTCAAGGTAAAAAACACATTATTCTCCATTCATTCTCAACATATCGATCATCATTTATTTTTCTTCGTATGTTGTTGATTTCAGATGGATCGTAGATGGATGTACTATGCGCATCGTTCGTCTACCGAGTATAGAGAGGGGGTCACTGAATTTGTCACATTTGCGGATAATGATAGAAAAAGTAGGATGAGCATGCACATGTTGTGCCCATGTAGGGACTGTAAGAATGAACAGATGATCGAAGACAAGGATGAAGTGCATGCTCATTTGATAATGAATGGATTCATGAAGAAATATACCTGCTGGACCAAGCATGGAGAGCAAGAGGCGCCTGATGTCGCAGCTGAAGAAGTGTTGGATCAGGATGTAGAGAACACCGCCGCAGCTCGAGAAGGCATGTTCGTACCTTCTCCTTTAGGTGGAGAGACCATAGATTTGGACACTCAATGTCTATCTACAATGTTGCATGACATTGAAGACGCAGAGGACAACGACAGAGATTATGAGAAGTTTAGTAAGTTGGTGGAAGATTGCCAGATGCCGTTGTATGATGGATGCAAGTCGAAGCACAGCAAGTTGTCATGCGTGTTGGAACTCATGAAGCTTAAGGCTAGTAATGGCTGGTCGGACAAGAGTTTTACAGAACTCCTTGAGCTGTTAAAGGATCTGTTGCCAGAGGGGAACAATTTACCTCAGACGACATATGAAGCGAAGCAAGTATTATGTCCGTTGGGCCTGGAGGTCAGAAGAATTCATGCATGTCCGAACGACTGCATTTTGTATTATAAGGAATACGCTGACTTGGATGTCTGCCCTATCTGTGGGGCATCAGGATACAAACGAGCAAAGAGTGAAGGTGAAGGAAGTAAGTCAAAGAGGGGAGGCCCAGCAAAGGTGGTGTGGTATCTCCCAATTGCGGAGCGCATGAAGAGAATGTTTGCGAACAAGGAACAAGCTAAGCTTGTGCGCTGGCATGCCGAAGAACGGAAAGTCGATACTATGCTGAGGCACCCAGCAGATTCAGTACAGTGGAGGACAATCGATAGGATTTACCAGGAATTCTCAAATGACCCAAGAAACATGCGTTTCGCAATGTGTACGGACGGCATTAATCCTTTTGGTGATTTGAGCAGTCGTCACAGTACATGGCCAGTTCTGCTTGTTAACTATAACCTTCCTCCCTGGTTGTGTTTCAAAAGAAAGTACATTATGCTTGCCATGCTCATTCAAGGACCGAGACAACCTGGCAACGATATCGATGTGTTCCTTGAACCGATAATCGATGACTTCGAAAAGCTATGGAATGAGGGCACACGAACATGGGACGCATATGCACAAGAGTATTTCAACCTCCATGCGATGCTGTTTTGTACCATCAACGATTATCCGGCCCTTGGCAACCTTTCTGGCTAAACTGTGAAAGGGAAATGGGCGTGTTCGGAGTGTATGGAGGAAACAAGAAGCAAATGGTTGAAGCATTCACACAAGACGGTCTACATGGGTCACAGGAGATTTCTCCCAAGGTATCACCCGTATAGGAATATGAGAAAGAATTTCAATGGACACAGAGATACAGCCGGACCCCCGACAGAGCTAACAGGGACAGAGGTGCACAACTTAGTGATGGGAATAACCAACGAGTTTGGAAAAAAGAGGAAAGTTGGAAAGCGAAAAGAGAAGAGCACATCGAAGGAAAAAACAGAGGAGCATGTGGAAAAACAAAAGACAAAAGAGAGGAGCATGTGGAAAAAGAAGTCAATATTCTGGAGACTACCATACTGGAAGGATCTTGAAGTTCGCCACTGCATAGATTTGATGCATGTCGAGAAGAATGTATGC